CTACATACACTCCCAACAATATAAGGCTAGAACTCTGCCGTATATAAAATACTGAATAATCCTTCTCACTCTGTCACATGCCATACTGAACAATAGTTGCACGAAATTTGCTAAACCACGTGCATGGAGTGCTTCAGACCATATAGAGACCTACGCAAACAGCACACCTCCCCAGCTCCCCCTCAACAACAAACCCTGGAGGTTGCTCCATATATACCTCCTTAATCAAGTCACCATGTAGGAAAGCATTCTTCACATCCAACTGATGTAATGCCCACTTATGTCTAGCAGTAAAATAGAGAAATAGGTGAATAAATGTCATCTTTGCCATTGGTGAAAAGGTATCAAAATAATCTACTCCATATGTCTGCACGTATCCCTTTGCTACTCGTCTTGCCTTCAATCTAGCCAATGAACCATCAAGATTCAATTTTGTAGTGTAAACCCACTTGCACCCAACAGCTTGTTTCCCTTCTGGCAGGGAAACCAAGTCCCATGTATGGTTGGCCTCTAGGGCCATCATCTCATCCTCCATAGCCTTATGCCATCCTGAATTTGCAAAAGCATCACAAAGAGTACGCGGCACAGTGATAGCATCAATTGTGACAATACAAGTCTGAAGTTGAGCAAAAAGTCCTTTGTATGAGGGCATGTATAAAGGAAAATTTCTGCAAGTTCACGTACCTTTTCGTAGAGTAATCAGTACATCTTCAGCCACAATGTCTTGAGGTGGATCCATCGACAAAGAGATTGTCTTGATAAGGGAAGTTTTCATAGGTGGATCTACGTAAGTCCTTTTATACGTACAACCAAATCAAGTATTTGGGCATGCCTCAAAAGGAGATGCATTGACCGATGAACTTTGTATTTGATAAATGAGAAAATCTTTTTCTTCTGATATGATAGGTGATGGATGAAACTATAGTATTGAAGGAAAAAGAACCGACTCATGAAACGCGACATCTGTTGAATAATAAAGCGACCCAAGTCTAAAGAGTAGCATCGATACCCTTTTTAGACATGTGAATAACCAAGTAAGATACATTTAAGAGAACATGGGTTTAATTTAGTGCAACTTGGATGAGTGTCACAAACAAAACATGTGCACCTAAACACCTAGAAAGAATTTGTAAATAAGGGACGATCAGGAAACAATACTTAAAGAGGAACTTTTCCTTTAAGAACCAAGGATGGCAAAAGATTTATAAGATAGAATGCTACAAGGACAGCTTCACTCCAGAACACCTTAAGGACCTTCATTTGAAACAAAAGAGCTCTAGCCACGTCCAACAAATGATGATTCTTCCTTTCAGCAACTCTATTTTGCTATGGCGTATTTGTACACAAGGACTGATGAACAATACCTTTTGCATTTAGGAATTGAACAACCTCTATAGAAAAACACTCTACCCCATTATCACTACATAAAATTTTGGTAGACTTACTGAATTGATTCTCTATTTCAGCATGAAAGGTAGTGAAGACAGAGAATAATTCGGTGTGGCTCCGCAACAAATACAACCAGCAAACTCGTGAATAATCATCAACAAATGTCACAAAGTATCTATAACTAGATTCCGAAATAATAGGACAAGCCCCCCATACATTAGAATGAATCGCATAAAGACCTTCAATCCATCCCCTACTAATAGTTTGTTTCATCAACTAATCCTGAAAAACACAATAAGTAGGAAAGAAAGAGACACTACAATTCAAATTCCTTGTAATCTGACTAACTGAAAGTAAGTTAAAAGGTGAAGAAGGGACATGTAGCACAAAATGTAAAGGTAATGTGGATATAGGTTGAGTCTTGCCACTTCCCACAACATCTATAGAGTTTCCATCAGCAACCAAAACAAACTATTTCCCTGTCATAGGAGTATATGAATAAAGAATACCTGTAGTACCCATCATGTGATCCGAAGCTCCTAAATCAATCACCCAAGTCCTAAAAGGGGTAGCCAAGCATGCAGTAGATTTACCTTGTATAAAAGATGTTGTCAGAGAGGAGATCGAAGTCTGATTCTGAAGCATCCGAATAAGCCTATCATACTCATCCTGGGATAACTGAACTCCCTTATTCTCTTACTACCGGGGCTAAAGCACAGCATCAGTCACATATGCGTTTGGTGGGCCAATATTGCCTCAAAGATGCGGACAAACATTCCGTAAATGTCCCTGCTATCCCCATTGATAGCAAGACTGTGGGTCTCTTCTACCACTTCCATGTCCTCTACCTCTTCCACCACATCCTCTGTGTGATTCTCGGCCTTCACGCTATGGGGCCATAAGTACTACCCTATCTGCATGTGGAGGATCATGTTGGTTGACCCTATTCAAGCACTTATAAGCATCAAGTAGAGAAAGTGGATCTCCGCCACTAATATCTGAGTACTAGCACCGGCGCACTCCTTCCTCAAACCTGCTAAGAAAAACATTATAGCTAGAGCCTCTTGTTGCTCCTGATTTGTTTCCAAATCGGCAAACAAGGGCATGAGTTCATTAAACTTGTCATATACCTCCTTAAACACACAAAATATTCCCTCAGGCTCTTACCGGATTGCTCCATTCTAGTTTATGCCCTAGTAACATCGAAGATCCTCTGCCAATTCTCAGAATTTATATAAACAATCTGTAAAGCATCCCAAAGTTCTTTCCTTGTGAAGTATTAATTGAACATCACCTTGACTCATCATTCCATCAAGTTGAACTACTGTCCAAGTACTCGATTGTCCTCATGCTCCCACACTGCATACTCCGAGCTTTCCTTTGTTGGCCGCTCACTTGTCAAAAGCCGAGCCTTTTCAAGACCTCGCAAGGTCACCAACACAGTCTCGCTCCATGATAAGTAGTTGGAGCCATTGAGTTTCTCATCCAACAACCATGAGCCCGTGATAATCTCCTAAGTTATCATCTTCGATGTGGTTGCCTCTTCCTTAGCCATGGCTACAAAACCTTCTTCCTCCAAAATACAACTAGTAATCCTTCAATCAGGTAACACAATCCCAAATCAACAACCAAGAACTTCGTCCTTAGTTCTGCAACCACACTCTACATCAAAAACTTGTCTCTCTTGATCTATCATTCACGAAGAGGTTGCAACCCCTTCTTGCTACCTTTGAGAATAAAGGGGAGGCCCCCCTTTTAACTAATGAAGGACTGTTGAAGAGAAAGGAAAAGTTTTAAGTACATTACTTTAGGGCTGCGAGATCAAAGTCTGTAGTAGCGACGATTTAGTTGACGCCGCAAAGGCTATAGCAAATGAGTTTGGGGAAAGAGAGAGAGGTCCACAGTGGCTAGAATTGCACTGCTAGCTTTGATACCATGTTAAAATTAATGCTTTAGAGAACAACTTGCTAATCCCTTGGATTAGCCTTTCATTATATAGACAATAATAAGGAAAGAGAACCAATTACAAATTACACATTAATGCTCCCAATTAATCCCTACTAAATTGTATCCCATGGAATATTCTTATAATATTTCAACTCACACACAAGCATACACTAACAGATATTATATTGATAGGTGATGACACTGAAGAAATAGAAAGGTGAAAGAAAACTCTTGGAAAAGAATTTGAGCTTAAAGATCTTGGACAACTAAAATACTTTTTAGGGATGAAAGTTGCAAGAAGTAAGAATAGCATTATTGTTTCCCAAAAGAAATATATGGTTGATCTCTTGAAGGAAACTGGTATGCTTGGCTATAAACCAATTGATAGACCTATAGATCCTAATGCAAAACTTGGAAAGAAAGGAGGAATTCCAGTACATAAAGGGAGATATCAACGACTAGTTGGAAAGCGGTTCTACTTATCTCATACAAGACCTAATATTGCCTTTGTAGTTGGAGTAGTAAGTCAGTACATGCACTATCCATTTGAGGAGCATCTTGAAGTTGTGTATCGAATCTTAAGGTATTTGAAGGTCACACCTAGTAAGGGTTTGTTGTTTGAGAAGAATGAACAAAGAAATGTGAAAGGGTTTATAGACCCAGATTGGGCAGGATCAATTGAAGACAAAATCCACCTCTAGGTATTGTACAAAGGTTTGGGGTAATCTTGTCACATGAAGGACCAAGAAACAATCTATTGTTGCTCAAAGTAGTGCAGAAGCAGAATTTAGAGCTCTTGCACAAGGAACTTGCAAACTTATCTAGCTGAAGAGACTTTTGGAAGAATAGAAAATGACAACTAAATACCCTATGAAACTGTATTGCGATAACAAGGCTGCTATAAATATTGCTCATAATCCAATGCATCATGATTGAACAAAGCATGTGGAAGTTGATAGACATTTTATCAAAGAGAAGATTGATATGGGAGTGATCTATATGACCTATATTCCTACAAAGGAACAAGTAGCAGATATCCTAACAAAGTGACTATATAAACCAAGCTTTGAGACTCTTGTTGACAAGCTGAGAATGAGAAATATGTATTCTCCAGCTTTAGGGGAAGTGTTGATAGATTATGTATCTAATCAGGATCAATTTCCCAATTTCTTGGGATATATATTTTTGGTCTTTTATTTCTTTCTATGTTTGGATGATTATGTCCTGATTATGTCCTGATTATGTCCTAATTTTGTGGGTTTCTTTGTACATATCGATTCCTCTATATATTTGGGGATTCCCTTTTAATAAAATAAAACTCAGAGAACATTGTTTTTATCTCTGTTTTTCAACTACAAATAGTCGTCCATTACCCTAACCTCTATTCTATCAGCAGTTACAAATTTGGCAGATCAAGGCAACTAGACAGTTTGAACTAAAGAAGAGAATAGAGAGAAAGGATAACACCCAAGTCAAAATGCTTAAGGCCAGTGTTTCACACATTAGGTCATAAATTGATAATGCTACACTTCGTGCTTACATTTAATCACCATGAAAGAATAAGCCAGTGTCTAGGAAAATATCATGGCAATTAATTTATGAAAGAAAAGCAAATAAATATGAACAAGCAACCAAAACCAAAACTGCATAGGAACAACGAGTACCTCAACATATAACTTTCGGATTTGTGGACCTTTGTCTTCATCCATCCCTAGAACCATTAATAGTGTAAAGAACTTAGTAAGTTAATAAAGCTATTTATAATACAGAGAACAAGAATAGTTAGTTGATAAAAGCACCTGGACATATAAGTCATAAAGATCACAGATTTTATCTTCCATGGCGTTATCTATGATGTATTGTTCTTTAAGGACTAGTTGTTCTTCAGAACCAAGCACTTCCTGTAAATCATCAGTTGCTACATCCCTTCGTTTAGATGCCTGGAAAGTTATGCATGTTCATAAAGCAAAGAACTAAAACATGTTATCATCATTTGCCACTGATTTGCACATATACCAAATAATATATTGCAGCATAAGAATGCCTTTCATAACATAAGATAAAAATTCGCAGCCATAAATGTTTGTATCACATTATTCTCACAGCACTAAATGAAGATCAAAGTTTGTCTATATTTTGCCACAAGTGCTGCCTCTTCTGAGAAAAAAAGTTGTATGATGCTGGTGATCAAAGTGATGATAACCATATCAGTCATTATAATACTGAGTATCAATGATGATAGCAAAAGGGTGTAAATTATTGAAACACCAATATAGAACCAAGGCATCAAAGAGAGGACTGCTTCTTGTGAGAAAGAAACTAAGAACCTACGACCCCAAAGCATCTAAAAACTATTTGGAAATTGCTCAAAGTGATTTTTGAGGAAACCTGCAATTTGATCATTTCAGTGACCTCCATTTTAATCTTTTGAAATCTATCAGCTTTTTCCCGCTTCGCAGAGAGTCCCAGTAAAACCATCTCTCTTAAGTTCCTCTGTATCCAAACAATCAATTGCAGCAAGGGTAAAGAAGAAGGTTAGTATCTAAGAACATAATTAAAAACATAAAGAGCTTAAAAAGTTAGGAAAATGCAACCATCTTAATTATCAGAAGGAGAGAGAGAGAGAATGCAACTATCCAGAAAACTTGAAATCAATCACCGGTTAGACTACTTAAACTAGAAATTAAGCCAATGAAGCATTGTCTTGATGGCAAGCAGTAGACCTTGGAACTTTTAGGTCCCATGTTCAAGTCTCAGCCTTTGTAGGTTTAATTAGTTTGTTTATCAATGTCTTATTGGATAAAATGTCTTATTGGATGCTAATTTCTACATGTACAAGTAATCTAATTAAAATGACACTTGAAATTCAGAAGTTATGCTAATTTCATTTATCCTTGACCAAAATCAGAATTAATTTCCAAATTATAGTATGTCAAAGGAATTAACGTATTGGCAAGGCATAGAACAGAATTAAAAAAGAATTACCCATATCACATAAGCTTAAATGCTATTGATTCAAAATTTCTTTGCAAAAAGGTTCTTCATATTTATGATAACTTCATATATTGGAGTCCATAATAAATGCATAATTTATCAATATTTTATATTAAAAATAACACTTCTATTCTATGGAACATTTCAATATCTGTCCCAAAAATATCATAGTCTACACTAATCTCAATCTTTTCTTACTATTATTATCATAACTACTACCATTCCTACTAACAGTACTTTTCTTTTTTTCACTTAATTAAGCATAATCAAGGGCACAAGGCACACAAAAAGTGCTAAGGCCATTGTATTCTGTTATGGCAAAATAGGCAAAAGAAAAAAAGTGCTCACCCTAGGGAAGCAAAGCAAAAATTCTTAAAAGATTAATAAATGGCCATAAAAACAAACTTATATTTATTATACCTAAAAACTTGCATTATACAATTTCTTTAATCAGCAAAAAAGTGCTGACACCATTCTGTTTCTTAATGTGTCATAAATATCAAACATTAGTAAAAGTCATCATAAAACTGTAGCTGTAAGTTCTCTCACTTCCATCACCAGCAAGAATTTATACGTGGACGATATTATACTTTCCCTGTACTTGAAAAAGACACGCTCATGTGTAATATTTCTTTGTTGAAGAAACACCATTGAAGAAAACATAAGAGAAGCTAAGACACAGGAATAAGAATACAAGGTATGGGTACTGACATGATGACACAGCCATTTTCAAAATTTTAAGATACAACAACAAAATATGATATATGCATATATAACAAACACACTGAACCTTCTCCAACTATTACAGGGATCACCTACATGGATCATTAGGCACTATTATTCCATATTTAAAATCATATGCTCAATCAACTTAGTAAAAATGAGCCTTTTCTTTCTTTATGATATTCATCTATCTCCTATGAAGCACAAGCACACCTTGCACCCGGTGTGTCCATGTTGGACACTGTCCAAACACAAACACTCTTCCGACATGGAGGCAATGTGTTTACACATAGATAACGTAAAATGGCATGAATCAAGGCTAAAGCCCTGTAAGATTGAACATTATAAACATTTTTCCCCTTTTCTTTTATCTCTATTATAGGATATTTCCTTCAATTCACCATCACATTTTTCCAAGATGCAACCCAAACCAGAAATAGATGTAAGTGAGAGGGAGCAGTGTCCATTCTTCATAGAAAAGAACTCAAATAATGCATTCTTTTTCTGTGCCTTTTGCATTTCAAGGCAAAAACTTACTGACGAAAAGCAAGCTGCCTCAATAAAGACCCCTAGAGAGGTTTAAGGTATTTTTCCTAGATTGCACTACACCTTGGCACCTAGGCACAGGGCTTGACTTCACAGCTAAATTGAAATTATTTGCTCAAATTAAAATTATTTGCTCATATACAATAGTGTGACACAATAAGAAAATTCGGGAAAAATATATACTAGTAAATAATAAAGCATGTACACAAACACGTAGATAGAAATACATTTATATAGAAAATAGGTATATAATCCATCAAAATATATATATATATACTTACATTCAATCATTGTGGCCTTAGTTGCGTTTTTGGTTGCATCGCATTTATCGCGATTGAGGATGAAACAGATGCTATCACAGTCATTGTGCTCATTGCGATTGTGAACTTTTTTCAGTTTTGCACAACTTATCGTAAAGCATAGTAATCATAATTATAACAATAAAAACTCATTTTTAACGATTTTTAAAGTAATTTATAACACTCTTATGATCTTTTATTATATGAAAAAAAATATTATTCACAATTTTTTATATTATGTTAAAACATTTGTAGTTAGAAAAACAATAATTCTTATATCTATAAATTTCTACAAATACAATTATTAAAAATTAACAAGGTAAAACATGTTAAATGTGCTTATGTCTATGAATTGTTGCAATTCACAATGTTACTCATTAAAGATGGCTAATGTTCAACTTTTGGATTAATGAACTTTTTTAAAGAGTATGAATCTATATAAATATAAATTTTTACTTATTAACAATTTAAAGACTATAATTCTTAATTTATATAATTTATTTTACCATATTTGTATATATAGAGTGATTAATTTTGCAAGCTTTTCTAGATTGTCATTGCCAAAATATAAGGTAATAGGCCTCTTTGAATGGAAAATATCCATTTGCATTAATTAGAAATTGCAAATATAAGACAATGGGCCACTCAAATTTTCATTAGATTGTTTTCCTCAAATTTCACCACCTCAATCTCCCTCTTATTTTCATCAACTTTTTCTTTTCTGCTTAGAATTCCTCTTTTCTATCTTCTCCCTACCACCTTTCCCCTTTTCTCTCCCACTTCTATTTCCACTTCTTTCTTCTCCATATTCTACCATTCTACCATTCTACCATTCTACCAGCCACCAAGAACCAACAACCACCACCCTCTTCTCATCCTGGCGGCACTAATGGCCACCATCTCACAACAGCAGCCACCACCTCCTTCTCTCTTCTCCGCTTGGTGTCAGATTTCCAACCACCACAAGCATGTTGGAAGTCCAAGGCTATATCACACTGCTAAAGCCGAATTAGCTCAGGTTAGATTATTTGTCAAAGTTACTTACCTTCAATTATTTGTTCTTGATCTTTATTGAGTTTGTTTGAAGCTAATATTGAGTGAATAATGTAGGTCTAGGGTCCTTTCTCCGTTTTGGGTTTTTTGCTGTTGATTTAGACAAAATGATTTTTTTATTGTTCTTGTACAATATTTCTGGACGGAAAATGGATTAATGCCAATAACAGACTATTATTTCCGCCATTACACCATTTTTCACATTGTGATTGTGCCACTACAGACATGAATAAAATTCACAGCCATTTTTTATGGAATAGCAGTGGCAAAGGGTGGCGCCACCGCAAAATAGCACCCACTACACTGCTATCATACCGTTATTTAAAACCCCGCTCAAGGCATTTCACTCTGATTAAATTTTACTTTCCTTGATGTTATGCACTACGCTAATAAGGTTTTACTTTCTGCAATTTGACTTACCGGGCTCTAGTGCACTAATTCCAGACCTACGTGACTGAGTGCATACCTTCAGTGTTCTCAACTGCACCGAATGCCCAAGAATATTCATAAGCCTATTGATTAACTCCTCTGATATTTTCCCTTGGCTTGACTGCTGAAATTACCATAGAAATGGTTTAGAAACTAACCATAACTTTTAACTGAAATTGAAATCCCTCCCCCCACCACCAAAAAAAAAAAAAAACACAAAGCTACTCAAATAACAGAACAGGCAATTTTTTTTTTCTTACTGCTAATCTGGCAACTTTAGCAAGCTTCAGCTTCACTTCACGAGGCAGCCTTCTTTTAAGAGCTGCAGATGAAGCATCTACATCCTGAACTTCCGTGGTTGCCGGTCTCACTGTCATGAATATTGAGCAGACACCAGCTAGTTACGTAGAATATATCTTAAACTTCTTCATAAAGTAAGAAATTAAACAACCTAAGCTAACCACATAACTCACATTCTGCAACAACTTTCTCCAACTCTCTTATGGCCCTTTCAAGCATTGTTCCTTTTGGCCTCAAATTAGAAACATCCTTTGACTGCACAAAGGGACTTTTCTGGCAATTTTGAATATAAGATCACCTTAATTAGTCTAAGCACATGCAAATCATTATGCAACCATGAAAGAGATGAAAAACACATTTACAAGGATAAGATATCAAATGTACCAGCCTTTATACCTTAGAAAGATAACAGTGAAGGGGAGCTTAGCTGGCACAGGGCCCCCAATTAATGTTTAGAAGTTAGTTTATAGGCATTGTTTCTCACCTCAATTAAAAAATAAAAAAAAAATTTGGCCCCTAAAAGAGTTTACAATGTGGTCCCCCTTCTAGCGTACAAGCCTAGTACTATGTGGTTAACAATTTTTAAACTCAAAAGTCTTCTATCCATGGGTTCTACCAATTTGCAACAATTTTAATCAAAATATTATTAGTTTGCTTGTGTTGGACTCTTTTCCCGCAACAGTTCATACACACTAACATTAGACTCCTTAATTAAAGAGCTACTACTTAGATGTCCTGTTACAAAAACAATTAAAATAACTAAAGAAACTGTGAAACACACAGCAGCCAAGAACTTGATACAGATCAATTGCTCCAACTTCTAAAGCTTACCATTTTCTCCATCAGTAATTAAAAGAAAGAAGAAAGTGATCAATTGTGTATAAGTAATTTTCCGGTCATTATTACCTTTTTATTTCTTTTCCATAAGCCATGTAACTTATGTCATCACATTTACTTTAGTCACACATAAGAAATATCCCATCGCATGGATATTTCCAATCTGCTAGCAAAACAAAAGGAGGTATACCATAACATATGATCTGATTAGAGGTATGCCCCAAAAGTTGAGGATACAATTTTGATTTTTTGCATTTATCATCAGGTCTAACTTTAAGATCATAAAGAAAAGGCAATAAATTATCTATATTTTTAAGAGTGTAAGTTAATCTACTCAGACTTGACTTGCTAGTTGCTCATAGTCAACTGAACTGCTATTGAGTCCCGTTAAGTTAGAGCTTGCTAAAACTTGGTTTGACCAGCTAGCAAGCCCACTCAAGTAGCTGACTTTCACTAATTTATTTTGCACTCAATCTATAATTTTACGTATAGGGATTTTAGTCCAAAAACTTGAAACTTGTGATTAACCTTGATCCAGCTAAATTTTCAGTCAATATTCATTTAGTCAAGGTGAGATCAATTATCTCCTCCAGTCAAGTATGATTATAGAAAATGGAACTCAATCAAGTCAAGTTTTGACCACCAACTCACTATGTCAAGTTGATCAATCAAGATTACCCCCCACAATGCAGTACTGCTGGCAAATTCAAATTTATTAAGCAACAGATAAGGACTAAGGAGCTTAGAATGTTCTTAATTATTGGCAAGATTTGAACACCAGTATTTCCAGTAGTTGCATCAACACTAAAGCAAATGCCAAAGTCATCCAGTATTACAGATTATGGTAGGATAAATATACATGCATCATTAGAGGAAGTAGCTCAGCTAATCATAGAATGAGATTAAAGAATTTTAAACTAGAAATATAGCTAATTATAATATTTTAATTTCAAATTGTAAATAGGAATCAGTTATATCAAAGACAGAGGCGCCTCACACATGGAAATGGCCTCAACATTGAATTACTTGAGACCACTTATTGTGACAATTGACAAAATAAGATCAAGTCTACACATATTCTTCTTGAAATTTGGAGATACAATTGCTTACCTCTGGTTGCACTGGATAAACAGGAAGATTAAGATCTGGCAGTTCACCACATGTTGCCCTTTTCTCCCTCTGCTCTATTTTGGTGGAAATTCCTTCTTTATCGTTATCAGTCATCAATTTTCTCACTGGAGACTCAAGTTGTTTACAAGAATTTTTTTCCAGATACTTCTGATGGGTTGCTAGAGAGTTTGCATTATTTCCTATATCACTAGAGTGGATGGTTGCACTCCTATACTTATCAGCATCCTTTGAATTTAGTGGAGATATAGAAGCATCATTGTTTGAGATTGCTGTGTATGAAGAATGCTCACACTTAGTTCCAATGGTAGCAGGCTTCTTAAAAGAAGATCTTACAGGAGAACTCAACAGGTTATGCAATTTCTGATCACGTTCATTAATAACAGCTGAGTTCTGCAAGAGAGCAGAAGATTGTTCTTCAAGCAGAGCATTTGTTGCAGCAAAATTTAGCCTCCCCTGTTCAACTTTCATATGTTTACTGGGTAAGTGATCATCAACTTTCTCTCCTTGAGCTTCAGCCATATTTTTACTCCGTTTTCTTGATTGTTGAGCTACTGACAATACAGGTTCATTTCTGGACCAAAACAATATATCATTAAAAGGAGTCAAATTGACAATCGACCTAACTAATTATTTTCTCAAACAAAAAGTAAGACATGAATAACTATTAAAATCGGCAATTAAAAAAAATTAAGATTCACAAATCAGTGATTATATTCTCAAAGTAATAGCTCATGTTGAAAAAACTAAAGTATGCTTTTAATAGCTCATGGTTTAATTGAAAACAATAAAGATAAAACATTGTGGGAAAACATTTAGTTACAAGTGGTTGTATTTTGTAATCTGTTGATTGTAATCTATATATATCTGTATCCCTAAAATTGAGAATTTGTATCTCTGGAATTAAGGACAGAATATCAGGATAGACAATTCCTTGATTATAGGGATTAGATTTAGGAATATTTAGTTTCCTAGTTTACTCTCTAGCTAGCTGTATTTAAATCTATGGTGTTTGTATGATTTAACACACAAGTTTTCAATATACTCTCATTTTTCCACATCTCATTTTTCCACATGCTATCAGAGCTTTAAACTCTTCTTGGGAAGAAAATTTCTAAGCCTTCATTGCTGAATTTTTTTAGGCCTTCATAGCCAAATTTTGTTAAGTCTGTCATACTTTTATTTTGTTCCTTTTTGGCCTTCATTGCCTATACTTGTTTCAGTCCTGAGAAAGGTAATCATGTCAGAAATAGCAGAATCTGCCACTACTACTCGATTTGGAGAAGTAACAACTGGTCAAACCACAGCGGAATTACAGAATATCCAAGCTGCATACAGGTTGAATGGAAAGAACTACTTGAAGTGGTCTCAGTTGGTCCAAACCTTTCTAAAAGGGAAAGGAAAATTGAGCCATCTTCTTGGCACTGGTCCTGAGAAAGGAGATCCAAAATTTGAGGCTTGGGATGAAGAGGATTCTTTGGTTATGTCATGACTTGAGTATGAGTAAAATTCAAAGCTTTGTGCTTTTAAGAAGAAATTATCCTCTTAACTTTGAACTCTTTTGTGTGAATTCCTTATAGTGGTGAGTTTGTTTGCTTTCCATATCTAGGATGGGCTAATCCCGTGAGCTGTATGATTTCTTTTGTTTCCTCTGCAACCTGGTATGAAAATTTGCAGGGCCACCATCAGGGTAATTCATCACTCTCCTCATCAGGTACTTTCATCAGTGTCTGTTTTATGATTCCCATCTTCAACCTTCTTTTGGTTTAATTATTTTTCCACGTTCAGGTTCCACTAGCACTTAAAGAAGGTTCTATGCCTAGTTAGATTAGAACCAAAGAGTTTTTTGAAGCAAAAGGGTGTCAAAAAGTAGATAAAATTTGGGTTACCAAAAATTAAATTCAGCTATCAATCACTACTCCTCCTGATATTCCTAGGTAGTGTTGCAGCAAAAAGCCAAATAAAAATTTATAATACTTCAATTATAAAAAGGGATAGCTCATATAACTTGTTTTAATTGCATGTGCAACACGCACATGAACAGTATCTTAATTACTTAAGTGAGAACCATACAGTTTATAAGTTATTTTTTTGGAAGAATTGACCACTAAACTAGTAAAATGCAGATTCCATTATTTATGTACTCTACCAATTGTTTTCAACTGAAGTTTTCTTATTAATATTTTTTGGTCGATTTTTTAAACTAATTATTTTTTAACCCCAAGTATTCTACTAATTTTAGGATTTATCACTTTATTACAGGTTCATAGTTGTTTAACCACAACAGAGTTCAACATAATACTATATATTCTTAGATACTCATCCCTTTTTAAGTGTTGACCTTGCTATACTACAATAAAATAAGAATTCTTCACCTTCAAGATCTTGCTTTCTTTTTGCTACCATTCTTATAGGCTGCTTTAGTTTATTGAAATAAGAATTCTCTTATTTTCCCAATCATCAAGCACAACTTTTTCTTGGACTCATTTCTCTTTTTTTTTTCCTTCTCGTAGATTGCTTTCTTGTACTGAAATAAGTCTATCAATCATAAAATACTGTTTTTTGAGATTATAAAAACTACTTTTAATAACTATAATTTTATAAAACAGTTTAAATGGTATAATTATAAATTAATGAAAAGAGGAAGTGTAATATAGTCATCACAAAAGTTTTCTCAAGCCACATTTATATATGGTATAGATTTTGCAGATGCAAACAGATGGATGCAAAAACCTATTGAAGCTCATAATTTTATTCCACAAGCAAACCAAGAGAGTTTTGCCATCTCTCTCCCAGAATACTAGGCAACACAAATAAAAGAATCCTCAATGCTGGTTGTTTGCATTTTTACAACTCATAAAGCCCTGCTTACATGGCAGACAGCCCTCGAACCTTCCCACAGATATGAAACTCCAAAGAATCATACTACAAATTACATATTTCCCAAAAATTTTGTAAAAAATTGGATATTTGCCACAATCAACACAGTGAAAATAAAAATAAAAACAGAAAATCATTCTTTTAACTCCATCTACATGAGATTTTGATATGTTGCGTAAGAACTTATGCTTAGTTTAGACTTTTATTGGAGCATATTCTTGTTAACATTGTTAAATGTTAAATAAAATAAGGAAGAAAACAATTACTACAAACACCAAATATATCTTTCAATGACTAAGCATGCTACTAACGTTAACATTCATTTTTTCTTGACATTAAATCCCATAAAATTTGAATAGTGGAAACCAAAAGACATGGCTTCTTAATTATGGCTAAGGAAACCAACAATTACTAATTATTCTCTTTTAAAGATTTTGGACTGATTAATAAAAAAATTTTCATAATTGATATATCATTTATCAATTATACTTTAGATTAAAAACTCCAAAAAAAGCTATCGCTTTCCTGGATCGTCCCAACAGCCAAGACATGAAAAGCATATAAAGAAGAATGACTTAAATAGTGAAAAAAAAAAAAAAAAAAACTCACATGCATTCCAATTTCTCAGAGTTTACAAGTAATCCATTTTGCTTAATTGTTGACTTGTCATCTTGAAAACATTCATCCTGCAGAACAATGGACAAATGAACGTCTTTAGCAATCAATTAACTACTTTTGGTATCTTAAGAATAGATTAAAACCACCAGCAATGCAATGAAAAAAGTACTATTGAAAAGCCACAATCAAAATATGCTAGCAAAAGCACAAACAAAAAGATCTGCCAATTGAATCATAACAGTTTGACCTACAATTTGCAGGATGAGCTATTAATTCTTGGTAAAAAGGCAAGGCCCAAAATTCTAGGGAGCATTTCATCTACAATTTTTTTTATTACAATCCTACAATTGTCCAATCACAATAAAAAATTATGTAGGGTCCACCACTTATAACTATAGACTCCACATAAAATTTTGATGGATCCCACACAATTATTAATTATGATTAATTATATTACAATGACTGTAGATGATATGCTCCCCAAAATCCAACTTGAAAAATGATTACCAAAAATAAAGGTACTTGACTTTTATAAGATTACTACTTTACCCTCAATAATAACTTTATTTTGTCTTTTAGTTGTAATTTATAAAACATCAAGGGATATAAAAGAAAACTTAACAATAAACTCATTTCTATTTGAAGGATAAAAAAATTGGGACTTCCAAAAAAGAAAAGAACAACAAAAGAAACGAGAGAGTTTTGACCTATTATAATTCCTTTTACATATCATTTCAACAAAGAAATCTTGTATGTATAGCTGATTGTATCAACAATCTCAAATATTTTGGGCAAGTATCTAGCACTATGGGGTCCAAAAAATGGCAAATACTTCACCCAAAATGCTGCTTCAAACAAATCGATGAAACTTTAAATTATATGAAAGTGGTGGATAAGGCAAATCACCCTCTATAGCTCTTCATCTATGAATGGTAGACATTGAAATCGGACTTCAATGTCAGTTTTTTTTCCCATAATTTGTCTAATCACTGAACACCCTCATGCAAACGTGCTCGCACAAACAAAAGAACCAATTGCCTTAATTCCTCAGCAAATGGAGTCATGATTAAAAAAAGTGTAAAAAGGAGATTTAAAATTTTCACTCTTTTAAGAGACTATATTTGGAAAGTAAATCAATAGTAACAGAACCAGTCAAGGATAACAAATTCATTAAAATAACTAATAAAACAATAAAGTAAGAGATAACAACCAAATTTTTTAAACTAATGTCCATTATATTACAAGCTCAAAAAAGGAATTAGATCCCCAATATATCGTTAAAGAATATTAATGCTTCATTTGGAACAATTCTTCAATGCCTTAACAACAGCCAATTTACAACTTACAACCAACAAAGAAAAGCAAAGCTCGTAAGTCAAAATAGAAGGAAAAAAAAAAAAAGAAGACCTGACTGGCTTAACGTCCTTTCAACATCCTTTTCTTAAATAAGCACCCTTTTGATTGGCCAACAAGCAGAAATACAGCAAAAACAAGCATAAGAGACAATCTTCAATGCATGCACACATACATATATACATATAGACAGAAATATATATATATATATAAAAGAAACTGCAGACACGCTTAAGCCTCAAAGGCAGTAAAAGTAAAAAATGAGGAGCAGAGGCTATTAGGGCCTTATAACATCATTCTCGCATGAGCAAATTTTGAGAACTCATTGGTTAGTATATTCAAGCCCACAGCTGCCAATTATTTATTAAAAATAAGTATTGTTCTCAACTTAGAAGGCTTCATATCTCTACCTTTTTGCATATTGTACAAGGTTTAATAAAGTTCAAGTTAGCCTGTTACTGTGGGAAAACACTTATTTACAGCTGGTTGTAATCTTGTAATCTGTATATTTATATTTGTATCTCTAGAATTAAGTATTTGTATCCCTAAAATTAGGATAGACAATCTCTCAATTATAGGATTAGTTTTTTAGGAAGATTTAATTTCCTACTTTAACCCCTAGTTAGTTATATATAAACCTAAGATTCTTGTATAATTCTCAATAAGCAGTTTTCCAACATACATTCAGTTTTCACACTGATTTATTTCTTAGTTTTTCCACATGGTATCAGAGCTTTAGGCTCTTCTTGGGAAGCAAAATTTTCAGCCTTCATTGCCGACTTTTTTAGGCCTTCATTGCCGAATCCTGTTTAGGCCTTCATTGCCAAACCCTTTCAAAGAAAATATTACTACCACCCAATTTGAGAAAATGTTAACTGAAAAAATCACTGGAATACTACAAATGTCTCAGAAACAAGGAGAGTTCGACAGGGAAGAGATTAAAAAGCTGAGAAACTTATTGAAAATCCTTCAAAAGCCTACTGTGATATGTTCTTTGGGTAAGGATTCTAGTTCAGGTAAAGCTTCCAGTTCTCATGGATTAAATGTCTCGGCTAAGCCTATTACGAGCTCTTAGGTCATTGACTCAGGAGCCACAGACCACATGACACATTCGTCACAAAAGTTTAGTACATATAACATGTGTCCTAGTAATAAGAAAATTATTGTTGCAGATGGTTCACTTACCATAGTGGCAGGGAGATGTTCAAGTTAATCCCTCGTTTGTTCTCAAAAATGTTCTTCATGTTCCTGGATTGTCTACTAATCTGATATCTATACAAAAACTTACCAGAGATATGAATTGCAAAGTAACTTTTTATCCCTCTTATTGTGAATTTCAGAACCAGAGTTCGGGGAAGATGATTGGACTTGCTAAGGAGAAGGATGGACTATATTATCTTGAGACATCAGATAACATAAGTAGTATCAAGAATAGTTTACCTTTGTCATTTCTTTCTGAAAAATCTTCCAATAAAGACAAAATCTAGCTTTATCATTTTCATCTTGGACATCCTTCTTTTGGAACCTTGAGAAACATGTTTCTTTCCTTGTTCAAAGGATTAAATGTCGAAGATTTTTATTGTGAGGTTTGCGAACTTGCAAAGCATAGACGTGTGTCTTTTTCAATCAGTAACAAAAGAAGTTCTACTCCCTTTTACTTGATTCATAGTGACATTTGGGGTCCCTCTACAATTCCTAATATTTCTGGTGCGAGATGGTTTGTTTCATTCATAGATGATTGTACCAGGGTCTCTTGGGTTTTTTTACTTAAATCCAAATCAGATGTGAATAGTATATTTTTAAGTTTCCAAAACATGATCCAAAATCAATTTGGAGTGAGAATCAAAAGATTTAGGTTTGATAATACAAGAGACTACTTCAATCAGAGTCTATCTACCTATTTCCAAAAAGAGGGGATTATCCATGAGTCATCTTGTGTTAATACTCCACAGCAGAATGGAGTGGCAGAGAGGAAAAACAACCATTTACTAACCACAACCCGAGCCTTTCTTTTTCAAGCAAATGTACCTAAATTTTACTGGGGGGAAGCTGTTCTCACTGCCACACATATTATAAATAGGTTACCTTCAAGGGTTTTGGGATTTAAAACTCCTATGAAACTACTCACACAATTTTATCCCAACCTCAATACCACAAACAATCTCACACCTAGGATATTTGGTTGTACATTATTTGTTCATGTTCACAGTCATAACAGGGAAAAGTTGGATCCAAGAGCAATTAAGTGTATTTTTGTGGGGTATTCTTCAACTCAAAAAGGATATAAGTGCTATCATCCTCCTACCAAAAAATTTTATGTGCCTGCAGATGTCACTTTTGAAGAAAATAAACCATTTTTTACTCAACCTTATCTTCAGGGGGAGATTTCATTCATGGAAGATAAGGATAAAGACTTCTTTTTGCTTGATTTGCCCCTTTCTTCAACATTTACACTCATTAATTCTTCTGAGTCGAAATCTGTTTCTGCTGAGCCCAAGTCAAACACTGAATTTGAGTCTGAACCCATTCCAAATACGAAAGATGTGACAAAGGATAATATTGTTCTTGATTCTATGAAGGAATTACAGGGGTACTCAAGAAGGAAAGTTCCAAATCCTGAACTAGTGCCAGTCCAAGAACCTGATCCTAACTCTGGAAATGAGGTAACTACAGTTTTTGACTCTATTTTTCAAAATGAGCATGAATCTCCTAAAACTATAACTAGTGATTATGATTTGCCTAGTGCCATTAGGAAAGGAACCAGAGAATGTACCAAGCATCCACTATACCCAATCTCTAATTTTGTGTCATTTGAAAAATTCTCACCATCCCACAAAAATTTTCTTGTGAGCCTAAACACTATTTATGTTCCAACTACATTATCCGAGGCATTATTCAGTGAGAAATGCAGGCAAGCCATGAAAATAGAAATGGAGGCCTTAGAGAAAAATCGAACATGGGAACTAGTAGAGTTGCCTAAAGGAAAAAATCCAGTGGGGTGTAAATGGGTTTTCACTGTAAAATATAAGGCAAATGGTACTGTTGAAAGGTATAAAGCCAGGTTAGTGGCTAAGGGCTACACTCAAACCTATGAAGTGGAGTACCAGGAAACCTTTGCTCCAGTTGCCAAGATGAATACAGTTAGGATTTTGTTATCATTGGCTGCAAATTACAATTGGCAGCTTCAACAATTTGATGTAAAGAATGCTTTTCTACACGGTGATTTGGAAGAAGAAATATATATAAAGGTTCCACCGGGATTTGGAGGTCATCTAGAAACAAACAAAGTATGCAGGTTGAAAAAAGCTTTATATGGCCTTAAACAGTCTCCTAAAGCTTGGTTCGGGAGATTTGCCAAAGTGATGCTAGCAATGGGATATAAACAGAGTCAAGGAGATCACACATTGTTTATCAAGCACTCTGATTCGGGGAGAGTCACAATTCTATTAGTGTATGTTGATGATATAATTGCAACTGGAGATGATGAAAAAGAGAGAGAATCTCTAAAACAGTGTTTGACTAGAGAATTTGAGATAAAGAAGCTAGGGATATTGAAGTACTTCCCAGGAATTGAAGTAGCTCATTCACGGCATGGTATTTTCATCTCACAACAGAAATATGTGATGGATCTTCTTAAGGAAACTGGGAAGCTTGCATGTAAACCTGCAAATACCCCTATAGATCCTAATCATAAAATTGGAGAAGCTAATGAAGA